TAGGTAGGTAGGTAGGTAGGTAGGTAGGTAGGTAGATCGATTGGTAGGTTGGTAGGTAGATAGATCGACAAGTAGGTAGGTAGATAGATAGGTAGATAGGTAGGTAGGTAGATAGATAGATAGATAGATACATAAATAGATAGATAGATAGATAGATAGATAGATAGATAGATAGATAGATAGATAGATAGATAGATAGATAGACGGGTGGATGGATAGATAGATAGATAGATAGATAGATAGATAGATAGATAGATAGATAGATAGATAGATAGATAGATAGGTAGGTAGGTAGGTAGGTAGGTAGGTAGGTGGATGGATTGATAGATAGATACATAGATACATAGATAGATGTAAATAGACAGATAGATACATAGATAGATAGATAGATAGATAGATAGATAGATAGATAGATAGATAGATAGATAAATAGATAGATTTGATTGGATAGATTGATTGATTCGATAGATAGATAGATTGGATAGATAGGTGGATCGATGGATAGATGGTGGATCGGTGGATCCTTAGGTGGATTGATGGATAGATAGATAGACAGACAGAGATATAGATAGATAGATAGACAAATAGACAGACAAACAAAGAGATAGACAGATAGAGAGAGAGATAAACAGATAGACAGAGAAATAGACAAATAGATAGAAAAACAGACAGACAGATAGACAGACAGATAGACAGACAAATAGACAGACAGATAGACAGACAAATAGACAGACAGATAGACAGACAAATAGACAGACAGATAGACAGAGATACATACAAATAGACAGACAGATAGACAAACAGATAGACAAACAGATAGACAAACAGATAGACAGACAGATATACATATAGACAGATAGACAAACAAATAGACAAACATATAGACAAATAGATAGACAAATAGATGGACAAATACACAGATAGATAGACAAATAGATAGACAAATAGATAGACAAATAGATAGATAAATAGATAAAATAAACAGACAGATAAAAATAAACAGACAAAAAGATAGACAAACATATAAAAAGATAAATAAACATATAAAAAGATAAACAAACATATAAAAAAATAGACAAACAGATAGATAGATAAATAAAATAAACAGACAAAAAGATAAACAAATAGATAGACAAATAGATAGACAAATAGATAGACAAATAGATAGACAAATAAATAGACAAATAGATAGACAAATAGATAGACAGAAAGATAGACAGAGAGACAAATAGACAGACAAATAAACAAATAGACAGACATAGAGACAGATAGACAAATAGATAGGTAGATAGATAGTTGAATAGATAAAGAGATAGTATATAGATAAATAGATAGATAGATAGATAGATAGATAGATAGATAGATAGATAGATAGATAGAGAGAGAGAGAGAGAGAGAGAAAGAGACAAATAGATAGATAGATAGATAGGTAGATAGATAGGTAGATAGTTAACCAGAAAGGTAGATAGGTAGATAGCAACATAGGTAGATAGGTAGGTAGCTACATAGGTAGATAGGTCGGTAGATAGATAGGTAGATAGAAAGGAAGATAGATAGATAGATAGATAGATAGATAGATAGATAGATAGATAGATAGATAGGTAGGTAGGTAGGTAGGTAGGTAGGTAGGTAGGTAGGTAGGTAGATTGGTAGATTGGTAGATAGGTAGATTGGTAGATAGGTAGGTAGATAGATAGGTAGATAGATAAATAAATAGATAGATAGATCGATAGATCGATAGATCGATAGATAGATAGATAGATAGATAGATAGATAGATGGATGGATAGATGAATGGATGGATGGATGGATGGGTGGATGGATAGATGGCTCGATTAGATAGATGGATAGATTATATAGGTTAGATAGATCAGATAGATTAGATAGATCAGATAGATTGGATGATGGATGGATGGGTACATAGATGGATAGATGGATGAATGGATGGATGAATGGATAGATAAATAGATAGATGGATAGATCGATCGATCGATATATTGATAGATTGAATCTAATAGATATATAAAATCTTATCAATATATAAAATCCGATTGATAGATATAATTTGATTGATAGATAGAGAGATAGTTAGATTAATGTGGTGAGATGTGGATATCTACCAGTGAGGGACTCTGATGGACAGATAGATGGATAGTTCGGTTAATAAGGGGAGATGTGGATATCACTCCGCAAGGGATGGTGTCCCACTTATGTCATGTTACGTGGACTCTTCATCTTTGAAGGTTGATCTTTGTAATTGACGGTCAGAAACCAAGAATCCAAGTAAGTGAGAACTCGCTCCAAGAAAGAAAGGAGAAGGCAAAGGAAGAAGAAGAATGAAGAAGAAATTGAAAGAAAGTGTGGTGTACATTAATTTTGTCTTTCTTAAGTAGTGTACAGAAAATAGTTCCATAGAATTTTGCCTAGAGGCCACTTTCTGGTCTTCAAGACTCGTCATGTATGTTGAATTAATGACCACAAAACAATAAAGCTCCAAATTATGTCGAACCCCCCAAAAAATCAGACTTTCTTTTTCCCACGACATACAAAGACAAAATTACGGTACAGAAAGTTAAGAAAGAAGAATAAAGAAGAAAAAAGAAAATAGACAAGAAGAGAATACAAGCGAAGAAGGGATCAGAAGAAGATAAGAAAGAAGGCAAAAAAAAGAAAGAAATAGAAAGAAGAAGAAAGAGGAAAGAAGACGAACAAAGATGAATGAAGATGAAAGAAGAGGAAACAAAAAGGAGAAGAAAGAAGAAAAAGAACAAGAAAGAAGTGGTTTGGATGCAATGGTTATGTCTTTCAAGAGTTTAAAGGAGAAGAGATATGGAGTCACATGAGCAGTAACAATAAAAGAGGAAGGTGCAGAAGAACCATCGTTGTCAAAAAGTCATTCCTTCCCCTCATGACTCATTGGTGATGACTTCATGGCCACATCCTTTCTGGTTAAATGTATGTGCTCACAGTTTGAGCTTTAAATACGATTTAATTACCCACTATGTCAAAAACTTTTAATCAACCCCCCTACAACCAACCTGTGGTGCATCGTTGTGACCTCCAGCTCGATCTCCGCTGGATCCAGGTCTTTCAACTCTCCTGCAAACATCAATTCAATTTGGGAGAAGTATTGCAAAAGTGGTTGAGTCTCAAATTCCTTCCTCAACAATCCACGATTCATCACTCTTCGGCAGAGAGCCATGCTCTTTTTTTTTTTTTTTTTTTTTTTTTGGTTAAACCACCACTGTTATGACCCTGGCCAATGTCAAGATACACATCCATCGGAAAGTACAATGTCATCCAATTGCAGAAAGAAATGAATGAACTTGAGAGGAGAGAGAGGATTAGAAGAAGAACAAAAAGAAGTAAGAAAGAAGAAGAAGATGATGTACACCAGCAAAAACAGATGATAAGGCTCTTCTTCTTTGCCCAACAATCTCTCCCTCCTTATCTCCCCCTTCTCTTATTCATACCAGAAATAATAATACAATGTTGAATGACTGATCCAGAATCAATGTCTGAGTTCCTCTTCTACTGCAGGTATCACTTGAGGTCCACCATAGCCATGGCCGCCTCTCCCACTCTTCACTCTCATAGGCCGAGGCTATAGCGGACTACTGGGCTCTGCTCAGATGCCCAAAGGAGTTGAAAGGACAACCCAAAGCAGCTATGGCTGCTCTAGCTCAGGCCGCCATGCCTGACCCTGCCTCGAAGCTTCTTGGTGTAGCTCTCCCCAGCTGGGGACTCCCTGCTGCAGCACCCACCAAGGTGATGAAGATGGCTGCCACCTCCCCCTTCCTTCCTTCTTCCTCCCCCGTGTCATTCTCCTTCCTCCCCAGCAGCGCTGCTCCAGCATAGCGCTGCTCCAGCCAGCGCTCCACCAGTGTGTCGCCAAACTTGCACACCGAAAAAGAGGCGGACTCTCCGCCCGGCCCAAAGATATAGCGGCCTGCTTTGCTTCTTGGGCGGTGACTTCCAGGCCGCTTAGCCTCCCAAGCAACTGGTACCTCCTCCTTTTTGGAGGGAAACATCATTGCAGACTCTGATATTGCCCGTACAGGCCCTAGACTCAGACTGGTATCCGCCTAGACCTAGCCTACACTACTGGGCCTAAAAAAATGCCACTTTTGTCTTCTTCTGCTCGGCCTCCGGTACCTGCACATCTACCCCTTCCAGGTGCGGTACCGGCCTACCCGCTACTTGAGTGCTTTTCCCCGCTGCAACCCCTCAATGTCACGGCCACAGGTAAGTACCGGCCTTGAGGGCCCAACGAATGAGCAAGTGCCCTGACGGGCCACACACATACTCATGCCAACCAGCACTCAGACAGGCATGGTCACACACACACCCAAGCCAACCAAAACTCAGACAGGCATGGTCACACACACACTCAAGCCAACCATCACTCAGACAGACATGCAGTCCAGCAAGCGTGCACACACAGACTTAGTAGCAGGCGGGAAACTCAGCAAGGAATTCAGTCTATGGGCAAAACTCAGAAATCAGCTGTGTGTTTCAGTCCATGTTTGGACGGGTCATCACACCACTACCTTTTTCCCACTGTTGGGAAAACGGAAAAATATCATACTCCTAAAAAATCGGAGGCCGGGCCCGATGACGGCCGCCGTTGATAAATCTCATCGGCGGCCATCGTTTCACTTCGGCCTCCCACGGCGGCCCACATGGGAAAAGGTAGTGGTGGTTTAAAGCCATGCCCTCATCAGTCAGGTAAGACTTAAAAGATAGAACCTGCTTGCGAATCTTCGCATGATTGCACGGGCGTGATCACAAGGAACCTGGACACTGGCCCACCCAGGTTCCTCACAACCATGCCCGTGCAATCATTTCCATCCAGAAGAAACAATCCAGACCATCTGGGCACGCATCGGGATGTTCAGATCCGATTCAGGCCGAGAGGTTCCACTACATGATGTTATATTTCTTCTTCTTCATCATCTTTCCCCCACTGCGTAGGAATTTGGTCTTGACCCCCAGCCTTCATGAAAACACACCGGTCATCCTCGACGCATTTCACTGGCCTGCAACCAGCTCTTCAGTAGGGGCTGAATAGCTGCTTCAGTTTCCCAAACAGCTGAAAGGCAGGAGAGAGGTGATACGTGAAGGTCCAGAAACTCAAACCCTGTGTGTGATGAATCTTTGAAAGCAATTGTAGCACCAGATTCTGATTGCATGCGAATGGTTGTACAATATCAGGTGCACGTGAAAAGAGAGGGGAACACACACACACACACACACACACACACACACACACACACACACACACACACACACACACACACACACACACACACAGAGAGAGAGAGAGAGANAGAGAGAGAGAGAGAGAGAGAGAGAGAGAGAGAGAGAGAGAGAGAGAGAGAGAGAGAGAGAGAGAGAGAGAGAGAGGACGCGTTTCGGCGTCTCAGTCAAGCTCTTGTGTCGTATTCCAAACATTTGTGATGCACACAGGTGATGACCACATAAAAAGTTGCTATAAAAATGAAAGACGCAAGCGATTGCGATTTAGCCACTTCAGCACCTGGTGTCCACTCCGTCATCACAGCTCTTAGTTGGCATGACCTCACCGCTGCTCAAGCTATGTTTTTACTCCTTTTCTTCCCTTGAAATAGTGCATTCAAGACTATTCATCCAATCCGATTCCATGATGATTCAAACTCATAATCTGTTTACTAACAGTCACATATGTGTAGCCATGTGTACCATTCAGCCATATGGGCTGAGGACTGCTGATCCTATTACTACCACCTTTCACACAGTGAGCTTCTTTCTTTGGCTGCATAAAGATAACTGACAAGAGATTCAATAAGACATCCAATAGGAGATTCAATAATGGATTTAAATAATAGATTCCAAGAGAGGGGCCAACTGACAAGAGATTCTATAATTGATTCGATAAGTGATTCACTAAGACATCCAATAAGATATTCAACCAAGAGATTCAATAATGGCTTTAAATAATAGATTCGATGAGAGGGGCCAGCGGCCTAGCTCGGTTGGTAGAGCACATAAGTGGCATTCAGGAGGTCGTGGGTTCGATTCCCATGTCGTCCATTTCGATCCCTCCTGGTCCCCTGTGGCACGCTTTGGGTTCACCTGGTTGGCTGGGAGGTGTCCTGTATCCACCTTCTAGCATGCGCCAGGTGTTAGGGAATTGCAGCGGTGCTTTGACACGGGAGGAGGTCGGTGTCAGCCCATAACCATCAGGACGCTCCATGGCTGCAACACTCAACTACGTCGTAAAACTGGACTTAGAAAGGGGGTTAGGTAGTGTGAGGCATATGAGAGAAGAAGAACACACAAAAAAAAAAATCCGATGTGAGACTGGATACGAGGTTGGATAAGAGAATTCAATAAAGAGCAACAGCACGCGAGGGATTACTGAAAAAAAAAAAAAAAAAAACACTAGGGATTACTTATGCAAGGAAAATGAGCAGTAGCGAGATGACAATAACCAGATTGCACAATCACATTGAAGGCCAGATAGTATCACAGTGTCCAGAAAGCAGAAATGCACCAATATAACACCAATGAAGATTCGTAACACTGACAACCAATGTCAATGAGAGCTTGCTCTCGCCACCACCAACACGAGTGTCCAGGCCCTATCTCCCTACTTGGCGCTCGGTGCCCAGCCTACTTCCTACACAGCTACTCTCTGCCTACTAATTGACAATGCAACTGTTGACGTCAGCAGCCTACGAAGTACTTGAAGATGTCACCCATGCAGACCATCGCCAATACCAGGTATGTGCCCTCACATCACCATCATCATCCTTCTCTCTCTCCCCTGTCTTACTCCCACGTCTTCCCTCTGTACACCCGAAGACCACCCCTGCGCCTCACAGTAGTCCAAGCCCAACCAGCTATGGAGGCTGGGCTATGGCGCTGCCCTCAGCAGCGCCCTGCTCCCTGCACGACCATACGCGCTAGCACCTCGCCTCTCAGCGCCAGCAGCAGCCCACGAGTGTCCGCTCCAGCAGCGCTGCCGCTAGCATGCGAGTGCCTGAATGAGCTCCAGGCAGCGAGCTCTTTCCTATATGGAAAGAGCCTGCCTGCCTTCGCAGCCTGGCTGGCCTGGGCCTCGGCCCGGAAGCTTCCGGTAGGCCCCAGGATGCTGTGCCTCTGTTGCAGCTACTGGGCCTCATTCGGTTGGCCCTCCCAACTGTCTGTGTATGAGGCTGCGATTCTCGCCCAGGGCCTGTATTTTTGGAAAGGCCCGGAAGGCCGTGGAATGTCTTGCTGCTCGGCCTGTGTTTCCCTCAACCAATAGGCGCATTGAAACTGCCTGGACCCCAGATACGAAATTGACAGCTGAGGGCCTCTCGTGATTTGTTAGGCCCGCCTTCACTTAGGGCGGGCACATCTGCAGCAGGGGCCCCTTAGGCCTGCCGAGGACCCAGATCCTCGCATTCCGTCCTCCTTTTCTTCGATAGTCCTCTGAGAAGTTTTCTAGTCTGCAGGCATCTTCCCCTTGAGTTCTCTTTCATAGCCTGCAATAACTTGAGGTGCTGTTCGCATGAGTTCTTCTCTGGTGAACCACCGATCTTCGCTGGGATCCAGGTGATGTCTGAATCTGACACAGGATTGCATTCTTGGCTTAGGAGGGCGGCCTCTGCCCGGCGGTTTAGGCACTTGCATCACTTGATGCTCCACAATTCCGTCGATGTCAACTTCACCATCCATGGTTGGGGGCAGCATTGACCGTCTGGAAGGAAACTATGCAGTTTCTGCGAAAGGTGCCAGCTTTGAAGCGTGAAAAACTGAGTGTGTGCGTAGGTGAGGTGAATCGTGAATCACATAGGAAGGTCCGTCATCTGATCCCCGACTATGTCTAGGACCTCCCAGGGACCGAAGTATTGTGGCATCAGTTTGCGAGATATGCCCAGCTCTTGACCCAGTTCAGATGATTTGACCCAGACTCTATCACCTACCTGAAAGTTAGAGGGCTGTCTATGCTTATTCTTAGACGCAATCATAGCATCGTGAGGCTTCCTAATATGCTCGACGGCCTGCTGCAGCATCTGCCCGCATTTGATAGCAAACTCTATGCTGCTAGGTGCTGCAGTGGGCTGTCTTTC